GGTTAATGTAGGTACCTCCACCAAATCGCTAAAAAAAGAGCATAGCTTGATGAAAAAAGCGTAAACTTGCGAAAACTAAATTTTATTGTCTAAATGCTTATGTTATTATTAAGAGGAAAGACCAAAGTTTTTTTTTAATTATTTTTTAAAAAATTTCCTTCTTTTTAGAACATTCTAAATTTTGATTAAAAAAACCTTTTTCTATTTGTATCAGCGGAACTAGTAAATAACATAGACAATTTTTAGCACGTTTTTTTTTTTGGTATGACACACATTAATTTGAAAAATTGTGCAAAAATAGAAATAATTATCGGATGTTAATGAAACTTTCAGAAACTATTCACAGATGATCGAAATTATTATAAATATTTTTTTTTTTATTTTATGAAAGTCATGGTAGAAATTTTTTCTTTTTTAAATATTTATTACCCCCCCATAACTAATTTTATGAAAACGCTAGAAATTTGATCGCATCGGTTTTAGTGATTACAATAATTAAAAGCACAGGGCTTTGAGGAATGCAAATCATGTTTTTTTTTTTTTTTTTTTTAATTGGATACGCAGTACCTGAAAATCAGCTCTGAATTGTAAAACATACAAAACTCAATAAAACAAAGATATTATTTAATTTCAAATGCTTTTATTTGCTTTTTTGTTTTTATGAATATGGACAATATTTTCTGAAAGCAAAAAAATTTTTTCGATGAAAATGAATTTTAATACAATTATTTGTTATTTCATTAATTATAATAGATTTTACATTTAAGTTGTTAAAATATTATAAAATTAGTTAAAAGTCAGGCTTTCATAAGTGTCCTTATGAGATAGATCTTTTTTTTTTAGCGTTGTAAATTGTATCATTTTGACTAATCAGAAGATCCCCAGTAATTAAGAAATGTAATTTTGTGCTTATAATCGAGCTGTAATTATAAAATACGGAAGACCAACCAGAATATAATTAAGTTGCGTTATTTGAGTTAAGCATTGTTCTCCGCTGTTAAGGCCTTTTACTTTTTGCGAAACACGTGTGGAGAAGTTAATTTGATTTTTCAATTTCAACTGAGAAGGGTACCTACAAGTATCAGTATCATCTTATGAAATTTATATGATCTTATTTTTTATATTAATCTCAGTTACAACATTTTTCCACAAATGAAATATCAAAATTAATAATAAAATGAATGCAAATACAAATAACAGTAGAATGTAATAAATGTACATAAAATTATAGTATTTTATGTACAATTTGATAAAAATTTCATAAGAAAGGTACCTATAAATTAATTAGATACCTTTCTTAAGAAATATGAAATTTAATGTCACTCTTAACAGTTTTATTTTAATTTTTTACAATATATTTCCCATAAAGCATCATAAACGTAAAGGTGAAAGCTAAGTACAAAAAAAAAAAAATTAGACCGCTGAAAGTTTTCGTTAAAAATAACGGGTAAATAATTTGTTCACGTAAATGTAAATTATTTCACTTTTCTCCTTCCGTAGAACAAATTAGCCTCATGGAATTCGTAAATATATCATTCATCACATGTCAAGAGACGCGAAAGTTTATGACCTGCTTTGTTTTATTTTCAAATTACATCTTTTTGGCACAAAAGCTAAGTTAAGTTTGGTTCAAAATATTTTAAATAAACATTATAATTTCTGATTTTCTTAAAATAAGTTTTGAAAAAATGATAACTGATATTTAAAAAAATTTCAAAGTCAGATTTTCAGTTTTTTTTTAAAATGGAAAAAAATGGTCAATTTTGCTGACAAAAAAAAAAAAACTAGATTTTTAACGAAAATTTCGGACGTGCTAGGAACGATTAAAAATGGAAAAAAAATACCCCAAAAAAATACTTTGACCTTTCCTCTTAATAATAACAAACATTTAGACGATAAAATTTTTTTTAAGTCAAGTTTAGGCGTCTTTTTCATCATGCTATGCTCTTTTTTAGCGATCTCGTGGAGGTACCTATCTTAACTTGTCATCTATGCTGATGACACTACTCTTGTCTCCATAGTAAATCTGATCAGTTCAATAAGATCAAAATTGCTGCCAATATCAAAAACAACTTCAAGTCTGTTGTTAATTGGAGCAAAAGATATCTTGTTAATTTTAATGCCTCCAAAACTAAACTTCTCTCCATTAATCCTCTGAGAGACCCCCTCTCTGCCATCCATCAGCATGGCTGATGCTAACCTCCAGTAAAGTGGCTCATTGCGCCTTCTCAGGCTAACATTCTCAGCTAACATTAAGTGGAAAGGCTATAAGTAATCAATTGCTAGGTCAGCTTGCTAAGAACGTTGGTTCACTGTGTCATGTGAGACAATTTTTCTCTCCAGAATCTCTCATACATATCTATAAATCTGCCATTCATTCATGCTTAGAATATTGCTGCCATATATGGTCCAATGCTCCTGCTGTTTACCTTAAGCTCCTTCATATAATCCAAAGAATCAACAATATTATTGGTCCTGATCTGGCAGCTTGGCTTCAGTCATTTTCCCACTGCTGTAAGGTTGTCTTCCTGTACATTTCATATAAATACTTTCATGGTAATTGTTTGACTGTGCTCTTCGCACCATACCTAGACTTTTTGAAATTAAGCACAGTACTAGACTGGTGTTGGCAACTCATCATTTTACAGTTGAGCTGAATAGATATATCTATAAATGCTATGCTAACATTTTCTTTTCTCACACTTCTCACTTGTGGAACTCTCTTCCAGCTCCATGCTTTCCAGCCAACTTTAATCTCTAAAAATTTAAATGCAATGTCAATCACTATCTACTGTTCTCCTGATTACACTTTTCTCTTCCTGCTCATTATTAATGTTTCTGTTCCTAATTCTTCCACACCCAGTAACCCCTTGTGTCTTAGGGTCTTTACTGTCCTGATGTGGGTGAAATCGATTAGGAAAAAGAAATTGTAAAATTGTGATTTTGAGATCAAATATGGACCAGAATCCAACAGAATGATAAGATAAAGAATAAATAAAGTATATACAGTCTTTCTTGTATGTTTATTTTTATAGATGTATGTAATGAGTATCCAGATAATTTAGTTGGAAAATTACAAGTGTCTGGGGTTTTTTACTTTGAATTTTAGTTGAGTGCTGAGAGATAAATGGTACTATTATGATTTGAAAAGGAACCAAAATTATCTTTGATGCATGTGTTGACAGACTGTCCATGTTGACTGCTTGTCCAATTTTTATTATAATTATTTTTGACACTATAATTAATTTTTATTTTTTATGAACATGACACTGTGACAGTATAATTAATTATTTTTATGTATTTTTTTATGGACACTACAACTTCTAATTGTGATTTTAGATATCAATTGGAAGAAGCTTAATTTCAGTTTATCTTAACTTTGATTCTTACTACTTATACTGGATTAATGAAAGGATTATTTGTCGCTGCAACATTAAGCAAAACTCATTAAGTGAATTCTCAAACCAGAGACAGTCAGTATAAAGCATATTTTCCAATGTGATATTAGCAATCACTATCAGATATATATGTTTGGATAATAATTGCAAACTGATACAATTATCAGAAATATATTGGAGAGCATCATAAGAAAGAACTGACAGTTGTGTTCTTTAGGGGAAGACATGTATAGATAGGAATGAGATCAGCATATACTTGTAAATCAGATAAAAAATTTCTGTTCGAAGTTTTTTGAAATATTACCAAACATGACTGACACCTGAGGAAGGTTGGAACATTGTGATCAAGACAGACAAAGTATCTCATCTGAAACAATATAACACATTGATTTTTTTAATTAGTTTTCCTATTCACATTAAGTGAATTAGCTCATCAAATAATGCAAAATTGGACTGATAACAAATAGGTTGATGATGCAAAAAGAAATAAATAAAATTCTTTGAGGACAGATTATTCTACTCATGCAGAAGGGTTAACTATTATGTGTTTTTTTTTCTTCTCAAAGAGGTCAATGTACACATTCAGATACTCAAAATGTACCTTCAAATATTTTTGATTTACCATTGCCTACTATAACAAACTAAAAACCAAATAAAACTCAAGTTATATCCAGTTTTTCATTGTTTTTAATAAAGGTTTACTCTTTTCTGTGATGATTTATGTGGAATTTTAATAAGTTTTTGGGAGATATGGAAATCACAATTTTGAGGGAATCTTGTGCAAATACACACACACACACACATACAGAGGAGTGTTGAAGAGTCCTTGGTTTAACACCCCCCCCCCAAAAAAAATTTCTGTTTGGTTAGGTTTTGGAAAATAGGTTGAACTGAGAACTTTTTAGCACCTTCTTATGTAATAATATATATATATACACACACACAATGAAAACTGACAACTTTAAAGGTCCATTGGTTATAATTTATTTCCCCAGGGAATTTCTTTTTTCCTGGCTCATCAAACTGTACTTACAAGGGTGAAAAAATGAATTTAAATTTACATAGTTTTTATACACTTTTGAGGGGTAGTCTTAAGTTGATGTAAGGTGATATAGAGAGTGGGGAGAGAGAGTGTGATAGACATAGTCAAAATTAGAGAGGAAAGAGAGAGATAGGGATGATTTTAAATTTATTTTTTTGCACACTCTCTTTCATATATATATATATATATATATATATATATATGAACATGTTTATAAACTATCTGGAAATAACATTGATTTATCAGTCACATGTTGAAACATTGGTCCCCCTATGATCACCGAAGTTAAGCAATGTTGAGCCTGGTCAGTACCTGATTGGAGAGCCAAGTTCCAATTCCCATTGGGTTTGTTATATACATTTACAGGCAAATACTTTTGGAAAAGTATGAATCCATCTTTCCTCCCCTCAACTATGGGTTAATTAGTAATTGTATCACTAAGCCATGAATGAAAAAAATTCTTACAATCTAAAAATATTTTCTAGCTTTAAATAACCTGCAAAGGGTTGATAAACTGTAGAAAACCAATAAATTTGTCAGTCATCTTTTCTTTCTTTCAGGAAATAGAAAAACTAGTTTTGAAGTCCATTTCATTAACAGAAGATGAAGACAAAGTAAGTGAACTTGTTCTGTCTTTACTTTTGATTTTGTTTAGTTTACTTTAATTAGGAAAATATATTTAGCAAATAACTTTTAGTTGAAATGTCAGCAGAAAATAATGCAGAAACATTAACGGTTGTAGTGAATTGCAAGTAAAAGAAGCAGAGGAAATGCACTTTAGATGTTTGCTAGTGTTTGTAAGTTTCCAGAACTATGAATAAAAAAAAGTTTTTACAACTACATTTTAATGAATTGGCCCAAAGACTTTGGGAAATACTAAAAAAGTTTTAAATTATCATTCATTATTGTTTTTAAATTAGTGACCCTTATTTGCTTAAGCAATAGATGTTTGTTTCTTATATGTTCAGGCACTCTGTTCTATCTCTGAAATAATTTTATATTTCTAATTATAGGTGCATGCTCATGATATTCCTGATGGTCACCGTGCCCCTTTACCTGAACAACAGCATCAACGCCATCAACAGCTGCGTGGAAGTGTAGTCATTGGAATGAACAGTGCTTCTCTCACTTCAAGCACAACCAGCACCCGCAGCTTATACACACAAACTCCCTCTGAGAGTGTGGAGATATCATCAGCAAGCAGTAGCAATGAAAGCCATAGTTGTAGTAGCAATAGCAGTTCTGTTGCAGGCAGTCGGTCACAGTCAGTGAGCCCAGTGATGCCCATCATCCCAGCTGGTCATATAGAGACATCTCGACCCTCTAGTCAAACTGACAACACAAACAGTGTCCTAAAAGAAACTGAGAAAGGTTTGTGATCTGTGAAACTTTATGCAATGAGACATTTTTAGATTAAGACCATAAATTGTACAAACTGCTATATTCTCCCAGTATTATGAAGACCTGAAATTTTTATATCAAGGCAAAGTAATGGCAAATATAAATTTATATATTCAATTATAGATGCACAGTTAAACTGATGGCTACAAGGTGAATTTCTGGTGTTGAATACAAACATGACATACAAATTATATGTGAAGTATTGAAAGTGTGATCTAATGTACTCATTGTATACATTCTAATATTGAATGGAGGTATCTGATAATCAGTATTACACATTTTTGCACTGTGAAAATAAACTCCAATATGCAGTGTAGGTCATGGTTAGACACATGACTGGCTCTCATGATTACTGAGATGGAAGAAACAATAAAGCTTTTGAGTAGACACCCTAACCTATGGGTTGGCGATTAATAATATTTGGGCTAAAATCAGATTGCTCTCTGGGTGTGCATTTTACATCTTGGTATGGCAAGCTAAGCCTTCAACTTCTCTAGCATCTATGATAGTTAATGCCAGTTTTACTATAGAAGATCTCCATATTGTACCCAAGTGATCTTGTAAACAGACAACAGGTTCCTCTCTGAACTAAAAATGAAACCCCATGTGGCAGCTCTATTCTTATTTGCATCAGTGTGCACAAAAGATAGAGAAGGCCCATGACACACTCAGAAGGGAACAAAATGTGAATATAGGCAAGAAATGAAGATTCAAACTGTTTTCAATAAATTTTATTGTTTAATTCACAACTTCACTTGCACAGTCTAGGTGGGTAGCTAGGTTACACTTGAGACAACTTCTGAATCTCAGATCACCTTTTCCTGAAGGAACTCTGACTCTCCCATCTCCCCTCTGCCCATCTCAACCTTACAACATATGATTGGCAACTCTAATAGGTGGCATCTGAGGTACATTGACTGACAGTGGACACCTAGTATTACAGTACTAGTAAGTAGCCTGTACTACTACAATCCCAACTGTAACTGTTAATATAAACCTGTAACTGGAAGTCTTCAATGTCTGGTCTTTTTGTCACTTGTTCCTAAAAGTTTTCATTTATATATCATTTTATTCTCTTTTTGTCAACTGCTTTTGAAGACCCCATTTCATAGAATTTATCAATGGTCATAAAACATGAAACACATAAGACTAAGATAAAATCACACATCATCTATGTGGGTGTCCTTGTAATTTTTTGTTCAGTAACAAAACAATTTTACACTTTGACTGAGAAATGTTAGCAATTTGGGGGACTTAAATCTTTCTAGACACTGGAACAAGTCTCCAAATTCACTATTGTATCACTGTATTAATTCAGTATAGAAATAATACAACAGGTTACACTTTATCAATGGATGAGCACAATATTCGTATAACCTGCATTGTACCTTACTTCTGCCTTACCTGTTTCTTATATAAGAATTTAGAAATAATGGTACGTACTGATCTGAGTGGTGCTGATCTCTGAGAAAAGCCTGATAAAATTAAAAATTAAATCTTCTGATTTATTTTTATTTCTCCATCTCCCAAAATTAAACTGACTTTTATTCTTATAAAACATGTCAAGATTATTTATAATCAAATAACATTTGAATGAATATTTTGGGCTTTTTTTTAACAAGGAATTCAGTTACTAATGTAATAAAAAAGGTTTTATTCAATTTTAATAATAGCATTTCTAGAGATTTAAAAATAATCAAGTGGATCAGATATTCAAATTTCACCATGGATTTTTTTTTACTTTTTTATTTTGTAAAAGTTTTTTAATAACTGAAAAGATTTTCAAAGATAATTCTGTTTTTTTGCGTATCAGATGAAATTAATTTTTATTTCAGTTGTTACGATACTCCCCCCCCCCGTCCTCCAACTGTATCGCTAGTGGAGATAGAGGAGGATCACAACTTGTTATTATTTTTAACATTCATATAATTTGCATAAAATATTTCCTCCCCAATGGTCTCTTTCCAATTGATCAGACACAGCCATGTGGAATCGATTAAGGAACAAGCATGATAGACGACAAACAATGATAAGCCAGATATATAAAAATTGTTCCACTATTCGTTTATTTTTTTTCTTGTCACATGGTCCTTGTTTTCAAATAGAAACGCTTTATCATTGTGAGCAAAATGAGGTTGTTGACCCTTTCTCTCATCTACAGAGTCAGAGAGAGTTTAAAGTGTTTCAATTTTCTATCTGGAATCCATCCTACTAAGTCATGCTGTCAACACATGACCAAAAGAGAAAGAAAGTGTACATTTTGGTTAATCTCTGTCGATACTTAATTCTACCTGGGTTTCCTATTTTTACATTTTTTCAAAAGTACTGGGCTCTTTATTTTAGAACGCTTCTAAAATAAAAGCATTGATACTGCTTTTATAATAAATTTAGGTGGCAGTTCGTAACACAGTATATTCTATATTTCTTTTGAATGGTATGAAATTTGTGAAAACCTAGAATTTTGATCATGGGTGTCAATCTTACAAATTCTGAAAATATATACTATTTTAAAATGGGAAAGAAAATGTTTCTATATTTTCAGCCTAGCTAAAAGCATATTACATAGGTATCTTAATTTTTGCTTTGGTTAGAATTTTAGTTCTCTTTCTGATAAGTTTTATTAACTCATTAAATAAAATTTGCTTGTAACATTATTGTCCTCCCCTCCTCCCTATATCAAATCTTATTACACATTTTCTTACAAGATGATTATTATTTGGAGTGATAAAGAAAAATAAATTGGACTTGAATAACTTTATCTGAAATGTGTTTCAGGTGACCCTGATTTGCCTGTGATTGCATCTCCAGAACCAAAGTTTGTATCCAGTCCCAAACCAAATATGTCCTATTCCTTTGCAAGAGAACCACCAGATGGTTGCGAAAGAATCAGAGCAACTTGTGTCGAAAGTGCCAAGTAAGTGATTTCCTCTGGGAGTTTTAATGATTTAATACTTTAGTATTCTAATTTTATTGAATGAACATGTTCTAGTTCAGTGGTTCTGTAGATTCAAGCCATTCATGCCCCAGGTAACAAAAATCTCTCCTTTTTTCACAATCATTACAGGAGACCACCAAAGTGCAAGTAAAGCTCAAGCAGGTTGACAATTTATCAGAAAAAATATTAAACATTCTGATCCATTATAACTATCCTTTTTAATGTTTTTGATAAATTGTTGATAATCTATACTCCTCTACATAAAAACTAACCATCATGGGATAGATTAGTGTTTAGGCATTTTTTGTGAATAATAGGTCCAGTTATATTCATGACTTAGTAATACAATAAAATAATAACATTTCTGGCATAGGAATACAATAAAAATGTTACTAATTATACAGATGCATTTCAATATACTCAAGTAAATATCAGTAATAGAGCCTGTATATATGATCACATATATAGATTAATATGTGTACTGATTCAGAAGTAAGATGTGCATTAACACTCAAACCTCAAATTAATACACTGTATATTCACCTTGGAAGTTAATAAAACGCCTGTAGTTTTACATGCATGTACAGATGACAAAGAGAACCCTGCAATATGGTATTCTATATCTCTTGCAACTTGATGTAATACTACAAAGGTGGACTAACTGAACAATTCTGACATCCTATACATGTTCAGTAGGAGGTAGTTGTGCTGGCCAGAGAAGTTGTCAGATCATATTGAGTAGCATGGGCATTGTGTTGGTGGGTATTATACTGCTGGAACAGCACATCACTGTTGCAGAATGTTAGCAAAGTGGGATGAACAATGATCTGGATGTGCATGATGTTTCTTTCACAAACACCAAAGATGAAGGAGTAAGTGTTCTAACCCCACACCATGATGCCAGGTGTTTGGGCCCATACATCAACAAATATGCTCTGGAGAATGTTACTCCTTAGATCTATATAATAAGCATCCTTTTCATGATGATAGAACATGTTCATATACTGAACACTACAGAACACCATTTGGTTCCCCAGATGATCCCATTGTTGACATGTGTGGTGGTGTTGTAGTATAAATAGATATCTTGCTAGAGACATGTTGTAGGGAAATGATTCTGAATAGCCTGTAGCCGTGTCTGTTCTATACTGTGAACACCATGCAGTCTGTTGGTCTATGTGACCATTTGGAACCTTGTCTACATATGTAGAAATGTTCATTTGACAACTATTACCAACCTTGACACAGCACTAACATGTCATATCCAACATACACATTAGTTTTCTCAAATGACCAAAGACGAATAAGCATAGTCCAACGTCTGTCAAATTGATAACTGAACAAAAGTAGCAGGTCTCCATGACATGACACAGCTTGCACTGGATTCTTTCCCTATATTGAACCTTTTATTGCAGCATGTGTCAGTATTTACAGCTCAGACACAGATGGCTACTGTATGAGTGTAATTTCATCACAAGATGGCTGAAGATGGAGTAAAACTGACTTGTAACAGTCAATATCTCCAAAACCAAGCTAATAACATTTCATCATTATTGAGCAGATCCTGGATTTTCACCCATCAAGATGAATGATTGTACTCTCAATAAGGCTCCTTGCTCTGATAGTCTATTGGTCTCAAGTTCACCCCAGATTTCAAGTGGAATGCATATATACCAGCATCATTAAAGATGCTGGTAAAATGGTTGGTTCCTTGTACTACTCCTGAAACTGACTCCTCTTACTATGCAGCAGTATTCTTTACAAGAGTCAAATCAGACCAAAAATGGAGTCCTTCTGTCATATCTGATCTGGAGCTGCCAAGTCCCCACTTTTCAGGTTTGATAGTACAAAATGTCGATGCAGTCGAGTAGGTAATGGATTATTTTCTATCCTACAACCCCTTTTCCATAAACAAAACAACACAAGCTTCTCACTATTCTATTGCTATTTATATGGCCAATGTTCTGATGAGCTACATTCCTTAGTCCATCAGTTCAGACCTTCACAGCTAAGACATGCCATACCACATACACTGGGACAAATTGGACTAGACTCTTGAGTGGATGTTTTCCTGCCAATTGCTACAATCTTAACCATGGAGTCTGAAGTCAGCTGTCTCTTTCCTAAATTGTTTCATAATCTGCATTTCTTACATCCTCTCCTAATGTTCATACAACAACCTAATTCAGTGACTCTTGAGTGGATCTTGGGTCTTGTACTGAGTGATTAATTAGTTAAAAAAAAAAAAAGAAAAAGTTATTTGTATCTACTATCCACTAGCATGAACATTTTACTCAGGTCACCATTTTATTTTCTATCAGTCTAAACATATCTGTATATTTTGTGAGTGCAAGTTGATTATATAATTTACTACTTTGCATTTTCTTTAATCATTTCACCCTAATCAAGGCAGTAAAGCCACTGAGGTATAAAGGGTTTGTGGAAAATTTGTCTCAGCTTTCCCACATGAAAGGGTTAAGGTTAAAGGTGATGGAATCGATAAAAGCAACAACAACTCAAAAGTTTAGAGCAGATAATTCACTCTTTTAGGCAGAAGAATAAAGACTCAAAATCCTGTTCATGGTGTAACAATAGAAGAAGAAAATGTTTATTTACATAACCAAAGAAAAATAATTTAAAGGGATATATACAAAATATGAGAGAAAGAAAAGGAGAAGAAAATTCCTTTAACTTAAAGGAAGAAAAAGTGTTTATGTAAAAGCTTGTTTAAAAATATTTCTCTGAGTGCCTAAAAGCAAGTAAATTGTTCTTAAGGGGTTAACACTCACAGAAGATTTCTTCAGAGTTCTTTGAATCAGAAGATCTGTAGTTTGTAGTTTATTGAGTTTGTAGGCCGACGACAGGAATTTCAAGCTCTTAGGAAGCAGATCTTGAGTAGTTTTATTAAAGGGTTGACATTCTGTCTTTAGAGCCCAGCATGTAGATTTTTTTTTCCTTGAAAGAGATTCTGAATATGACTGGTATTACTATCACTGACATGATGTTATCACAGACTATGTAAAATTCTCACTACTAAAGAAGTGCATATTTTCAGTATTTATTGAAATTAGCATGCACAGAAATATTGGGAACTTTTCCCTCCAAAATTGCTTATACACTTTCCTGGCCCTCTTATTCATCAGAAAATATATTCTTATCTCTGATAAGAATCAAAGGTTTGGGAGCTGGTTTTGGAAGCCAAAGTCCGACAAGTTGTGAGCATTCCCCTCCCTTTACGTTGGCACCATGGTCAAGGCAGGGTCACTGCTTTTAAATTCCTTTTATATTTTGCTCTCATTTGTCAAAGAAAATATATTCTTTTATTTCTGATAAGCTTTCAAAGGTTTTAGAGCTAATTTTTTGGAAGGACTCTTGTAATTAAAAAAAGACTAGAATGTGAACTTGTAAAACATTGTAGTAGTGGTTCACAAACTAAATTCTGATAGGTTATTAAATGTGAAAGAATGGGAGAAAGAAAAATATTATTAGAGAGAACAATAAAAAAACAAGAATTAAAACGGTAAAAGATAATGATTGACAATTCATTTAAGTTCGTGACGGGAAAGTAAAAAGCCAGAAAAGAGTTCCACAAGCGAGAAGTGCAAGAGAAGGAACTGTTAGAATAGAACTTTCAGTTCCATCTAAAACATTCCAATTAAAAATAAAGTGTTTTTTGCCAATTTTGTACTGTTTTAAATTTAGAAAGTTCTTTCATCTAAAGAAGAATTACCATGAAAATATTTATAAAAAAAAAGGCACAAGGAAGCTGTCATGATTGTGGGAAAGTGACTGAAATTGAAATGTCAGGACCTATAAAATGATAGATTCTTTGGATTTTATCAAGTATCTCTAAATACATGTTAATTTCTTAAAACGAATTAGCTTTCTGTGTTGGAATTTGTCACGAAAAAGTAAATGATTTCGTCTCTTTCTTTCCTGCTGTATGCTGATGGACACAGTCTCCACTTCTGAGACTGAAAACTTATTCTCCTTTCATTTCCAGCCTTTTAACATAGCCAGAACTATCCCCGATCCTAGCGAGGATTAACTCCCTATGCAAAAACACCAACAAGCCAGCTACCAATCACAGTTCTTCCCTGCCCACCTCCACTTGCTTTGGGGGTTTCAAGTTGACCGACCAACTCATTACACTTTCTTAATTAGTTCCTTTTCTGCATTTAATTTCAATACTCATTAAGCACAAATTTTCTCTCATGTTTGTCTCGAGTTATAATACTGGGACTTACTTCATGAACTACTATCAAGACTCCTGGGAACTCTACTTGCCCTGCATGAGTTGGTTATCACTCACCTTATCACAATTTTAATTCTTATCCAGATTAATAATTGAGAATTTTTTTCATTAATATCTATAGTGAAATATATTTAATTATTGTAAGTATGAAGGTTAGGTTTCTATGTATCAATGCAGGTTTTAAGAAAAGGAATCAAATTGATAGGTAAATTGCTAACAAGGCTTAGAAATTTGGTAAAAGTATGATTTGATTTTTAATTATTAGTCAATTCATTATAATAAATTTAGACCATAGAGATGTTTTATTTTCTGAACACAGTCAGTACATTGTGGCCATGTTCATAGTTAATATTATGAAGTGTTGGCTTTTTCTTAAGAAAATAAAACATCTCTATAACACTAAAAACATACACATAAATACACACTCAATAAAACTGAAAATGGCTAAAAAGTATAGCCAAAGTGCTCGGAATGATAGAACATTTGGACACCGCCATTCTACTCATACAAAAAAAAACCTTGTTTTCCTCAAAGTGTTCCATTGGTGAGAAGTAATTTCCACTCAGTTTTTTTCCCACGAACCACTGCTCTGTGGAAGCAACTTCCAAGAGGATGTTTCCACGATCACTACAATTTTTTTTTAAACCTGTTCAAGTCTAGGATTAACCATTATCTTCTTCGCCTTATCGTTAAACTGCCTCTTAATGTAAACTCGAGTGGCCAACAGG